GGGCCCTCTGGCATCCCAAGCCAGTTCTTAACCATTGCGCCAGTTGGCCGGCCCAGGAGTTTGTATTTTTTGTCGTTATTTTAAATCACTTTTCCTCATTCAGGTGTCTTCAAAAGCAAACATATTTTAGAGGTTTTATTACTCATCTCTAGAAGAACCAGCCAGAAATAGATACTTGGAGAAATTACAAGGATTTTTGAAATCATAATAAGATTCTCCTTGCAGGTTCACAGTCCTTTATCTTAAATTTTCAATACAAAAAGCTCTGAACACCCCAAACTGACCTGACATAAGGCTGTTTATAGTCCTTGCTCACTTAGTGTAAATATGTGTACCGTTTACTGCAGAAATAATACTGCTTTGCTTATGGGGTGCTGCTCCCAGACCTAGCAGCAGTGTATATGATTTATACACCATATTACTTTTCTAAAGTCTATAAAATTCTGATTCTGAAATATATCTGGCTGCAAGGGTTTTGGATTAGGGATTATGGACCTTTATTGTATAATAACAACAATAGACATATTGCCCACCAAGGGGAAAGCTATTTCCTTACAGGGATCTCATAATCTTAGAGGCACAAAACATAGTACTTGGAAAGGCCCTTGGAGATCCCTGCCAGCTTCTTTTCACTTACAAATGAAATAACAACGATGTGATGTGTCCGGCTTGAGGGTTCAAAATTCTTTGTTACAGTAAGTCATTGCCAGTTTTTCCAGTGAGTTGTGTGGGGAGAAGGGACAAGAAGTAGTCCTAGTGTATTTCTCACCCACTTTGTTCCCATTTCACCTCATTATTTCTTTTCTTAGCCACCCCAGGTAATTAGCTTTTATCAGAAGGAACTCCCATGCTGTCCCCAAAAGCAACATATGAGGGTTGGGGGGACGGGGAGGGCTGGGGCCTTGGAAGGGGAAGGTGAGGCTGATCATTGGATAAGCTGGGGATGCTGAGGGCTCCTTTCACGTGGGAACTGGTGTTCTAGGGATGGGGCCACCGTCTAAATGTGGGTTGCATATAAGAATGAGCCTATGAAATCGCAGCTATTAATAGGCTCTGAGATGTTGTCAGGGTGAGAAAGATAGGGACAGGTAAATAAACATTGACTGTTGGGGCTCTCATACTTTTTCATCCTTGGCTTATTTTATCCCTAGGGTGCAAATAGCTATGGGCAACTTGGCCTTGGCCATAAGGAAGATATGCTTTTGCCCCAGCAACTGAATGACTTCTGTAAACCTGGCTGTGTCAGGAGGATCACGGGAGGAGGGGGCCACTCTGCTGTTGTCACAGGTAACTTCCTTTAAGAGTAGATAGCCCCTCACTTTCTTATTTAGACATTTCCCCCTAGGGTGTCATATTGCCATCTTTTAGCCTTTTGTATTTTGCAGAGGAAAACATTTTTGTGAAAGCGCCAAGTTACCATTAGAGAACCTCAGACTGTCAGAGCTGAAAGGACTTCAGAGATGTTCTAGGTTCTCCCTGTGCTCTCCCTCTCCTCCCCCCACCCCCATCCCTTTACACCAGTGAGGCTCAGAGAGGAAAACTGATTGCCTAAGGTTACAAGACAAGTTTGTGGCAGAGTTGTAACTGATATCACATTTTATACCATATGTATTGCTATTTAACTTTCACATATGAGTTAGAGGTCTTTGCAATTAGATTGAATATTCCTTGAGAGCAACAACTTTGCATTTTACTAATTTCCACCCCCACCCCCACCCCTCCAGTGCCTAGGATAGGACTTAACAAGTTCTACAAGTGCTACAATATTGCATCCTGGATAAGAACATGAACTCTGGAATCAACCTGCCTGGATTCAAATCCTGGTTCTGTTATTTATTAGCTGTGTGGCCTTGGGTAAATTACTTAACTTCTCTGTGCCCGTTTCCTCTCTGTTACATGGAGGTCATAATGATGGATGAGGAGGATCAATGAGTTAATAGGGCTGCATTGTGACTTTTATGGGTCCTTGGCACTTTTACCTTTGTGGACCCCTTTCTCCATAAAGGAATATTAGTAATTATATTTTACAACTGCATTGATATAAAGATTAATATAACCCAGGCTGGAGTTAGTGTTTTATATTTATTATTATTACATTTATTTTTTTCTTATTTTAAAAGAAATTAAAACATTATTGTGGAGCTCTAAAAGTATTATGTACCCTAGGCATTGTGCCTAAAGGATAAGTCGGCCTCCACATAGAAAGAGCTTAGAACAATACCTGGCACCGTCTTAGTGTTGAATAAATGTTGGCTTTTATTGTTATAGTAGACGCTCAGTTTGGTGATTGGCCGCTGCTATAGGACTTGGAGTTTCCATTTGGATATTCGATGGGAGCCCCTCGGCCCTGTGCCACTTGGTCCAGTGCACATTAACATACAAACTTATTAACATGGGTGGGAAAAAAGTTATTGAGTTTGTGACTCCAAATAATTAGCGAAATCCTTTTGCTCACTTTGGCAGTTGTAATTACCCCTGGGCATACTGTCACCAAAGCCTTTGTATTTTGCAGACGGAGGAAACCTTTTTGTTTGTGGCCTGAACAAAGATGGGCAGCTGGGGCTTGGCCACACAGAGAATGTTCTATATTTTACTCCCTGCAAATCCCTCCTTGGCTGTCCCATCCAACAGGTGGCCTGTGGCTGGGACTTCACCATTATTCTCACAGGTGAGTTCACTCCTAGGTAAACCTTTACCACCACGAAGGCTTTGGGCGAGAAGAGCATGATGGTGTCGGTGGTCATGCTGATTAGATGAAAGCCTCTTTGTGTTTCAAAACACACAACTGTTCTCTCTGGTTGTCAAGGAAAGTTGTGGAGGAGAGTTAAACAGTAAAACTTTTATAGGAAAACTTTGGACTGGAAAACTTTTGCCAGAGACTAGGGAATGAACTAGATCACCTTTGGTGGCCACTTCCTATCCTAGAAGTTCGTGATAGCCGTGTGGCTGGGCCAGCTGACCAGCAGTGCTGGCTAAGGGTTCCCCACAGGGGAACATGGTGAGGGTAAGAGGAAATCAGAGGTTGCCGTAACAGTGATGGCAGCTTTTTCCCATTGAGAGGTTTAAAAATAAATAAATATAGTTGGACAGAATTGTTTGGTCTCTGTGAAGCCCGATAGCAGAATAGGATGTAGAGGGATATGGGCAAAGGGTTAATAGAATATAGTTGGCCCTTTGTAGCTGTGGGTTTTGCATCTGTGGATTCAACCAACCGCTGATCAGAAACAGCAGTACAGTATTTTTAATCCGCAGTTGAGAATCCACGGATGCAGAGGGCCAACCATATGCATTGTTCTATGCTACTTTATGTAAGGGACTTGAGCATCCATGGAGGTCTGGGGGAGGGGTCCTGGAGCCAGTCCCCTCACAGATACTGAGGGGTGACTATAATGCTCTTGGGAGCAGCTGGCAGTAGTTACTTTGTCAGCTGACTTCTCCCTGGAAACAGTTTCTTCCGGTCTAGCTTGCCATTCTGAATCGAAAGGACCATCTATAGTTGGTCCTGCGCTCCCTCTTTGCAAGTCCTCTGGCAAGGGCATCTTCTGACCATGTCACCCCCACCTCAGACCCTTGTGGATTGTCACGTGCAGAGCTCACATTCCAAGCTTTTTAGCACACGGCTGTTGTTGCCTTGTCTCTTCTCCACATTTCCCATACTTCTCCTTCTGGTAACACCAAACAGTACGTTTTGTTCTGTGCCTGGAACAGCCCTTCTTATCTATCTGGTGAACTCTTATCCTGTCTTTAAAACCCTGCTCAGGCGTCACCATCTCTCTTCTGTGAAGGGGTTCTGTAATGTGTGTTGAATTTGATAGTAATTATTAGAATCCAAACCATAGCTATCATTTATGAAGTGCTAATTGTAGTCCTGTGCTGAGGTTGTAGGGAGTCAGTAGATAACACTCTGTTTCCTGCTCATATTTGGAACCAGTTGTGAGAAAAGGTGGAGAGCAGTCAGACAGGTGGAGATCAAGCTATTGGCTTTTTACTGATAAAGGCTAAGTTGGAGGACAGGGTTAATTGTCAGGCCAAGTAGTTCTGCGCACACTCCTCTGATGCAGACTTACCCCCAAACTCTAGGCCTTCCCCGTAGGGAAAACCCTTCCTATGTGTCAGCCCAGAGTACCTGAGAGGAAGGAGCCAAGACACACGTGTCTCCTTCCTGCCTTCTCCCAAACGCACCAACTGGTTAGGTGACCCCTCCTCTGCTAGAAAGTGGTGAGTATGGGGAAGGGCAGGGAGAAAGGCCTGGGGTGTTAAAATAATGGAAATTGTGTTACATGGAAACATGAAAAGTGAGGAATCAGTATCCTCCCATCCCAACACTAGGCATGGGGCTAAGTGTTCAATACAGGTAACTCATCATGAATTAGGTTGTGTAATGGGCAGTCTGAGTAAAACAGCCCAGTGCCCAGTGTCCTGATTCCCAGAGGAACAATGAAAGCAGTGAATATGGTTTAAATGTGGGGGAGCACAGGGCCCTCCATCCCTCCTCTCATTCTCCTCACTCCTCTCATCCTTTAGTGGTTATTTACCCTTTGGAAACAGATATCTTACTTTTTAGATTGTGATTTAGGTATTTGCATTTTGCAGAAAATGGTCAAGTTCTGTCATGTGGATCTAACTCCTTTAGCCAATTAGGAGTTCCTCATGGGCCTCGAAGATGTGTGGTTCCCCGGGCCATTGAGGTAAGGACAGCGCCCAATATTCAGCTTCTCTGTGTCTTGTTACAGCATCTCCAGGGTATTACAGTTTTTCTTCCCCAGACTACAAGGCTGACTAGGTCCCGGAAAACCCATGGGGGAGTTAGAATTTAAGTTAAAAAATTTTAGGTTTTTCTGGGAAAAATTAGGTTGTGGGGGTGGAGGTCGTGAGTGAAAAAAAATCTCTGTTAGTCCTCATACACATTATAAATTTTTGTGAGCTAAAACAATTAAGGTCATGTATCTTATAAAGACATTAATGACTTTTTACAATTCTAAAATTAGTAGCCATGGGAGCTATGTTAGAAATAGGTCTGGATAGAAGTGACTTACCTGAAGACACTAAGCTAGGCAAATGGTGTAGGCTAGTGCTGTCCTATAGAAATAGAATGTGAGCCACATTGGCAATTTCAACATTTCTAGTAGCGTCATTTCAAAAAGTAAAGCGAAACAGGTGAAACTAATTTTTAAAATAATAACTTTATTGAGATGGAATTCACATACCAGAAAATTTACCCTTTAAATATGTATAATTTTGTGATTTTTAGAATATTTATAGAGATGTGCAGCCATCACCGTGATCTAATTTTGGGACATTTCCATCACCAGGAAAGAAACTGTGTACCCAAGAGTGGGCACTTCGTGTTCTCCCCTCCCCCTACCTCCTGGTGTTTCTGTGGATTCGCCTATTCTGGGCATTTCATATAAATAGAATTATATAATGCATGGGCTTTTATGTTTGGCTTCTTTCACTTCACCTTATGTTTTCAAGTTTTATCCATGTTGTGGAGTGAAGATGAGATTAATTTTAGTAACTTTTAAGTTAACCCACTGTATTCAAAGCATTATCATTTTGTTTTATGTGCCATTAATATAAAACATTTATTAATGAGGTATTTTCTATTCTTCATTTTTATACTAAGTTAAACTCTGGTGTACGTAATTACAGTATGTCTCAATTCAGTGTAGTCATATTTCAATTGTTCAATAGCCACCTGTAGCTAGTGACTACCATACTGGACAGCATGAGTGTTAAACAGGACTTCTGGCCCTACTTCAGCGCTCTTTTCACTGCATTATACTTAAAATGTACAAATTTTCCGTGAAGTTTATATTGTAAGTGATCATAGTAGGATTATGGAATTTTAAAAGAAATATGCTGGGATCTAAAATGAGTGTTGCCACCTAAGCTGCTATCTAATTTCCTTAAACTCTGACTCCGAGTGGGAGACCTGTTTTCACTGGAGAGAGTTTGGTCTGCTCCTGTCATCTTGCTGAATTATGATTGCTGGTCTGTCAGGCACAATATGGGGTTATAGTTTCCATGATGCTTTAGTCACTTCGGGCTGCAATAGGGAAAATACCACAGACTAGGTAGCTTAAACAACAAACCTTTATTTTTCCCATTTCTGGAAGCTGGGAAGTACAAGGTCATGGCATCGACGGATTTGGTGTCTGGGAAGGGCCCACTTCCTGGTTCATAGACAGCCACTTCTTGCTGTGTCCTTACGTGGCAGAAGTGACAAAGGAGCTCTCTGGGATCTCTTTTATAATGGCATTAATCCCATGTAAGAGGGATTAATGACCTAATCACCTCCCAAAGACCTCACCTTCAAACACCATCACGTTGGGTAATAGATCTTAATATATGGATTTCAGGAGAACACAAACATTCAGTCTAGACCACATGTTATGCACAAAAGTCTAGACTCTGTAGTCCCTGTTGTAGCAAGCGTTACTGCTTCCAATTATAAATAGATGGCCTTTTAAGAACCTACATATAAGTTATAATTAATTTAGCTTAAGTTACATGATTAAAGAAGACAGAGGGGAACATGTTGGATAAAATATGTTGGATAACAGAATCAGGAGGTAAAAACATTTTGACAGGCTGTATCCTATGGAACAATGGAAGGAATGTGCCAAAGTGAAATACAATAGGAATTCATTCATTTATTTCATAGCAACTATTATGTATAGTGCTGTGTTTAGGCAGTGGGGACAAAGGTAAGTAAGATCCAGTCCTAGCGGTTGAGGATCTCACAGTTTAGTGGTACATATTAGATACAGAAACACCTAAATGCATCACCCTGTTAGAACTATGGTAGATGCATGTATAGCCTTGGAGGAGGGGGTCCTGAACTTTCTAGGTGAAGGCAGGGTGAGAACAGGCTTGTTGTGCTGACTCTTGAAAGTTGAGTAGAAGTTTACCTGGCTTGAGACAGGATGCACAGAAGACTAGGTACAAAAGAAGAGCGTTCCAGACAGGAGCTGTGTAAGCAAAGGTATAGGAGCAGAAAACGGGAGGGTTTGGGGTACTGCGAGTGGTTTAGCTTGATTGGAGCATAAGGAAGTGGTGGAAGTGCCAGCGGCATGGGGGGTCACTCGGGAAGGTACCATATGACAAGTGGTAAGAACAGTGTGGTAAGGAGGGGCTAATGAGGGTAGTGTGGAGGATGGATTGAAGGAAGATGACTCAGAAAGCTCTTCTTGCTAAGAAGTCAGACAAGAGATGACCATGGTCCAAGCTAAAGCAGTGGCAGTGGGGATGGAGAGGAAGGAATGGAGGTGAGTTGAAGATGTTGAAGAGATTGAATCCACATGTAAAGCCCTTTAGTTCATTTGAAAAAAAAAAAAAGAAAAAATATTGTAAAGGACAACGTGTTCAAATTGTATTAGCAGTAAGATTTGAGCTTCCCCAAAGACCCAATGTGACTGTGGGCTACATTAACAGAAATATAGTCTCCAGAAGAAGGGAGGCCAGAGCCTGACCTTCTCTGCTAGTCAGGCTGCCTCTGGGACGTTGTGTTCCCTTGTGGGTGTGGTGCTTAGGTCCTGGGCATAAAAGTGACTAAGGCTCAGACCCTGTCCTTGAGGGTCCTGAAGTTTAGAAAGACACTGTGGACGTGCACATAATGTGGTAAAGCTCCGTAGGGGCTGTGATTGATGGACATACAGCCCCTTTAAAGAGAGAGATTGAATAACCACAGCGTATTTATAGGAAAGAAACCAAAAAAGGAAGGGAATTTGAAATTGGGTGATTGATGGCTGATGGAATTGGGGATGTTTGGCCTAAAAAAAGAGATATATATTAGATCTAGTGCTGTGTAATAAAGTACCTTAAAATTTATCAGCTTGAAACAACAAACATTATCTCACAGTTTCTGAGGGTCAAGAGCTGGGAACAGCTTAGCTAGTCTCTCATGAGGTGGCAGTGAAGATGTCAGCCAGGGCTGTGTGCCGTCTCCTGACTGCTCAGCTGGGCTGGCGGATCCACATCCGTGCTCTCTCACCTGGCAGGAGAGGCTTCAGTTCCTTGCCACATGGGCCTCTCCTGTAGGATGATCAGACATGGCATCTGGCTTCCCCCTCGAGTGATGCGTGAGAGAGGCCAAGCAAGAAGCCTGGGTGCCTTTCCTCACCTCGAGCCACTCTTCACTTCCTTATCCTGTTCACTAGAAATAAGTCACTAAGTCCAGCCCACATTCAATCGGGGAAGTAAGCTGCACATCTTGAAGGGAGGGGGTCTCAAAGAATGTGAGGACCTATTTTTAAAACCACCACAAGACATCTTAGGACATGACAGCTGTCTTCACATATTTGCAAAGCATTGTCAGAAGCTATAGGCAGATAGGTTTGGCTCCACCGAAGGAAATAAACAGACCAGTGTAAGGATGGAACAGGCACCTGGGGAGGTGGTCAGCTGTGTCACTGGAAGTGGGTGTGTGGCAGGGGTTGGGTGGCCACTTGGTGGGATGTTGTGGAGAGGTTTCTAGTATTGGATGGGGATTGGACTAGATCAGAGGTCCGAAAACTACAACCCTTGGTAAATAAAGTTTTATCGGAACACAGCCACGCCCATTCATTTATGTATTGTCTGTGGCTGCTTTTATGTTACAATGGCAGAGTAGTGTGATAGAAATCATATGGCCTGCAAAGTCTAAGATATTTACTATCTGGCCCTTTATAGAAAACGTTTGCCAGCCCCTGCACTGAGTGACCTTGAAGGTCTCTCCCCTCCCTGAGAGGTATTGTGATCTGGTATTTTAAAAAGATTTTTGTCTTTTAGGGGTGCATATGGAGGTATTTGTGGATGGAAATATTGGGGGTTGGGGGCTCTAAACCAATCAGACACGTAATGTGGATCACGCTGCATTTTGAGCATCAGTTACATAACATTTTGTAGATGGATGATTCTGAGATCTCAATTCATTTCTTTGTTTTGACAGAATCTGAGAGAGAAGGTTGTTAGTATTGCTGCTGGACTGAGGCATGCGTTAGCTGCTACAGGTGATCATTTCACTGTTTTTCAATTACAGTTGACATTCAATATTATATTAGTTTCAGGTGTACAGCATAGTGATTAGACATTTGTATAACTTACGAAGTGATACCCCTGATAAATCTAGTACCACCTGATATCTTACATAGTTATTACAATATTACTGACGATATTCCCTATACTGTACTTTACATCCCTGTGACTATTTTGTATGATGGTTGCCAGATGGGAGGGGGTCTGGGTGAAAAAGGTGAAGGGATTAAGAAGTACAAACTGGCAGTTACAAAATAGTCCTTTCACTTTTATTTTCTAAATAGGCATATAATAAGGAGAAACAGAGCTTTAGAAGAAGAAATAAACTTTAAGGAGTAATTCAGAGTGTCCTGCTATGCTGCATATCTGACTAAAAGGAGGGGGTCATAAGGCCAAAATCACATGGGAAAGCCCTTAGCAGGTAGGGAGGAAGGAAATGAAATATTCCAGCTCTTCATTGTGTTCTAGGCATGGGGTTAGGGTCTCTTGATTTTATCAGTACCTCATTTAATCCTCATAATCACACGGTGATGTGAGCTACCTTTTTAGGTATGAAGAGGCTGAGGTCCAGAGAGGCTAGAGCGCTTGTCTAAGTTTGCACAGGGAGTAAGATAGTAAAAGGTAGAGCTGGGATCAGGATTCCAAGGCCCACTTTCCTTGCTGTGGCTGCACTGCTTTCCTAGTGGATTTTTTTTTTTTTTAGCTGAGCCATCTGCCTCCTGCTGTCAGCTCAGTGGCAGCTCAGCTCGGGCCGGGAATTGAACCGGGAACGCTGTTGCTCAGAGCTTGCACTCTTGAGCAAGCTCTTAACCAACTGAGCCACTCGGGCGGCCCTACTCCTAGTGGATTTTAATGGTTGTTAATTTAAAAGCTTCAAGTGAGCGTGTTTCCTGGACCGTAAGGGGTTGGTGGAGGTAGGGCTGACCGCGTGTGTGAGGTGGAGGGTGGTGAGCAGAGAGGGGCGGGAGCAAGTGGTAGAGCAGGGACCCTTTTTCTCTCTCCCTCGGTCATTTTTCTGCTCCCACTCCTGTGGGCTGAAGGACCTTCCTCACAGGCTGTGGCTGGCTGAGGCTCGAGAGTTGGGTGGGTCTAGTTGTGGAGTGGGGAGAGGACAGGAGGTGAGCACGAGTCTGGAGCCTCCTCACTGTGCTGCTGGTCACCGGGGGCTTAGTGCTGATTATGTTTTTTTGTTTTTTTTTAAACATAACTTTATTTTGAGATAATTATAGATTCACATGCAGTTGTAAGAGATAAGACAGATCTCATGCAGTCTTTCAACAGTTTCTCTTGATAGTAACGTCTTGTGTCACTGTAGTGCAACAGCACTACCAAGGTGTCTTGATGCAGTCAAGGCACAGAACAGTCCCATCACCACGAGGAGCCTCTTGCTGCCTTCTTATAGCCACACCCACTTACTACCGGCCCCTCCCCCTTCCTAGCTCCTGGCAACCTCTCTTCCATTCTCCATCTCTATAGTGTTGTCATTTCAAGAATGATTATAAATGGTATTATACAGTATACAGCCCTTTGAGGTTGGATTTTTTTTTTTTCTTAACATGATTCCCTTTAGATTCATCCAAAATTTAAGTATCAATAATATGGGCCTTTTTATTGCTGAGTAGTATGCCGTGGTGTAGATGTACCACTGTATTAACTCAGGCTGCCATAACAAAATACCACAGACTAGGTGGCTCACACAAGAATGTATTTTCTTACAGTTAGGGAGCCTAGAAGTCCAAGATCAAGGTGCTGTGACGGTTGATTTCTGGTGAGGCCTGGCTTCCTGACTTGTGCATGGTTTCTTTCTTGCTGTGTCCCCAAATGGCTTTTTCCTCTGTGCACATGTGGACAGAGGGACACCTCTGGTGTCGCTCCCTTTTTAGAAAGACACCAGTTCTATCAGATTAAGTCCTCACTCTTATGACCCATTTAACCTTTGTTATCTCCTTAGAGGAGATAACCTTTGTTACCTCCAAATACAGTCACATTGCAGGTTAGGGCTTCCACATGAATTTTGGGGAGACATGATTCAGTCCATGACAACCACAGTTTGCTTAACCAGTCACCCACTGAAGATCATCTGGTTGTTTCCAGTTTTTGGCTATTAAGAATAAAGCTATGAACATTTGTGGACAAGTTTTTATGTGGACATAAATTTTCATTTCTCTGGGATAAATGCCCAGGAATATGATTGCTGAGTTGTATGGTAGTAATTATATTTTATAAGCAGCAGCTTATCCCAGAAACTATCAGGGCTGGAGAATTGTCTTATCATGGGTTCACTGCCCCCTTTTCTACCAACTTTCCGTAATTGCTAGTGGTTTTAGGTGTGCATTTCTGTCCATTTGCAAAGCAGCACAGTTTCTATTATGTGTTTGATTAAATTAATTGTTAAGTCCTTCCCTCCCACATTCATTCTGTGAATATTTCTGCATGCATTTCTAAAAGATAAGGACTCTTTCTGAAAACATTACCAAAAGTACCATCATTATACCTACCAAAAATTAACAATAATTCTGTAATTTCATCAAATATCTAGTCAGTATTTAAATTTCTCAGATTGTCTCAAAAATATTTTTTTGTACAGTTTGGATCAGGATCTGAATTAGGTCTATACATTGCAGTTGGTTGATATGTATCTCAAGGCTCTCTCTTTAAAAATATTTATTCCTTTAGAAATTTTTATCGTGATAAAATACACATAACAAAATTTACCATCTTAACCATATTTCAGTATATAGTTAAGTGGTTTTAACATTATTCACATTATTGTACAATTATTACACTATCTCCAGAACTATTTTTATCTTGCAAAACTGAAACTCTGTTTCCACTAAACAGTGATTCCCCATTTTCCTCTCTGCCCGTAGGCTTTGGCAACAACTCTTCTGTCTCTGATTTTGTCCATTCATACAGGTACCTCATATACCGTATTTCCCCATGTATAAGACGTTCCCATGTATAAGGCGCACCTTAATTTTGGGGCCTGAAATTTGAAAAAGAATGTATTACATAAAGTGATTGAACTCAAGTTTTATTCATCATAAAATTCATACAACTCTTCACCACTGTCAAAACTCCCAACCATTAGCTTGTCCTCATCTGTGTCTGATGACGAACTATTGTCTTCATATATTGCCTCGTCCTCAGTTCCATCTATGGCATTTGAAATCTACAACCACTGTATAAGACACACCCAGGTTTTAGACCCCAAACTTTTTGAAAAAGGGTGCGTCTTATACCTGGGGGAACACGGTAAATGTAATTGTACAGTATTTGTCTTTTTGTGGCTTATTTCACCTAACGTAACACCCTGAAAGGTCTACCCATGTTGTAGCATATGTCAGAATCTCCTTCGTTTTTAAGGATGAATAATTTCATTGTGTGTACAAGTATATACCACATTTTTTATCCATTCATCTGTTGATAGACACTTGAGTTACTTTCACATTTTAGCTATTGTGAATAGTGCTGCTATGAACATGGGTGTAAAAATATCATTTCGAGATCCTGCTTTCAGTGTTTTAGGATATATACCCAGAAGTAGAATTGCTGGATCATATAGTAATTTTTAATTTTCTGAGCAACTGCCATACTGTTTTCTGTAAGGGCTGCACCATTTTATATTCCCACCAATAGTGCGCAAGAGTTCCCAGATTTCTCCACATCCTCGCCAATACTTATTTTCTATTTCGTTTTTTTTCTTAAATAGTATACATCCTAATGGGTGTGAAGTGTGTATATCATTGTGGTTTTGATTTGCCGTTCCCTAATGATTAGTGACATTGAGTGTCTTTTCATGTGCTTATTGGCCAGTTGTATATTTTTTTTGGAGAAATATCTGTTCAATTCCTTTGCTCATTTTTAAATCATGTTTGTTTTTTGTGTAGTGTTTTAGAAATTCTCTATATATTCTGAATATTAATTATCAGATAGCTAAGTCTCTTATAGTCTATAAATTCCTTTTCCTCTCTTTTTTTTTTCCCTTGTAATTTATTTATTGAGGACATTTTAAGTTTTGTTATATTTCAACACTGTGCTCAGTTGTCATCACTGATATTTCACAAAGCAGGCTGGTCTGTTTACAGCCCAAAGAAAGGCCTGTTGGTTATAGGATCTTTCCAGAGGAACGGAAGTGTAATGTTGCTGTTGCATGATGGGTCCTAGTTACACACATCTGACTGCAGGCCAAATATATAAAACTTCATCTATTCATTTGTATGAAGTGCAGGACATGGGTACATGAATTAGATTCAGTGAACATGGAAATAAAAGGCCATTCCACTGAAAGAGTGGCTATTAAGAAGCTATCTTGCAGCCATAAATTTATCTGGCAGTTAGGAATCTCCGAATTCACCTTGGTGTAGTAGAAAGGACACCACATTAGGTATTAGGAGAGCAGAGTTCTAGTATTTTCTCTGCTACTAGCTCCCTGTATGACCTTGGACAAATTAAACCCCCCACTTAAGGACCTAGTTTTCTCATCAAGTAAATGTGAGGAGTGGACTTGATAACCTTCAAGGTTCTGTGTCGCTTGGTCTAGAGTCTGAGTGGTCCTTTCAGGCTAATCATAAACAAGGTCACCAGTAATTAGACCCTAAAGGAGTGTCCTGGGACATTTTAGAGGGAGTTTTACTATGTTGGAATTTTCTCTGATGGTCTTAGATTGCTCTGAAGATTTGACTTGTGGTTGGCTTGACGGTAATCCCTATGACCAGCCATAGGACCCTTTAAGCAATAAGCTTCTCCATAATACACGTGTTAACTGAGAATGAACTGGGACTCTCCCATAGCAGTGAGGTTCAAAGAGCAATCTGGTCTTATCCAGATAATCATTTTCTCTTTTTCTTCTGCTCCATTGGGAAGCAAGTGGCGTTGTGTTCCAGTGGGGAACTGGTTTGGCATCATCTGGACGGCGGTTGTGCTCTGGGCAGACGCTCCCACTGTTTTTGACAGCAAAGGAACCGAGCAGAGTGACAGGTAAGGCCCTTATTTCTTCTGAGTCCTATATTGATTCTTTGTCAAGAGGTGGAGACACAGGCATGCAGAAAATGGGTAAATGGAGTTGTGTTTTTCTGCTTCTTGGTCTTCCTGCCTTAACTCTCACTCTTAATCTTGTTGGAATTTTTGTGGGCCCAGTAAAAGCACCCTTCTTCGCTGCCAGAGTTTGGAACCCTTTGAGAGATAGATGCAAGTCAGGTATGTGGAGATCAAAATGGTAGCTCTAGTACTCTTAAAAGCTAGGTTGGAAGACATGACTTAGGTGTTTGGAAATAACGTGCAGCAATAGTGAACCTCTAAATTCTGAATCCCAGAGTACACTTCCCCGCCAGGCCCTGGAGCAGCTGCACTGAATTGGCCATGCTAGGCCAACAGCACAGCTGAGAGCACAGGAAGAGGCGCCCCCTGCAGGCAGGCACCTCCCAAAGGGAGAACCCAGAAGGACTGTGCCTCACATGCCCAGTTCCTTCTCCCAGAGGAAAGCAGGAGTGTGTGTGTGTGTGGGGGGGGCAAAGTGTCCCTAGGGAAATCTCTGTACTTGGGCACACGAGGAGCAATTAGTGAGTGTTCTGCCCACAGGTCTGTTGGTCGATCTTTTCTGGTCAGTTAGTTTGTAGGACTTTCTGTTTCTCTCTTTCATGCTGTCATTTTCATTTTCTCTCTCTCTCTCTCTCTCTCTCTCTCTCTCTCTCTCTCTCTCTCTCTCTCTCTCTCTCTCTCTGTCCCTCTGTTCTACTCTCCCTGTGTGGGCCTTTCTGTATGAATATATCCCACCATGTCTCCATCTCCTCTTCTTTCTCTCTTGCTTTCTTACTTTGTGACTCAGTTTACTGAGTCTTGGCTGTAGGAAAAACCTTTACAGGAAACCTCTAACTGCTTTCCTCTAGCTCAGAACAAAGGAGGGGTTTCTGAGCGTGGTAGGACGGGGGGAGTGGGAGCCACGTATAAGCTGTTGGCATCATTCTGAGTTTCCTAAGTCCTAGAGGCTCTGCCTTTCATGGAGGTGAGGTTGGCCATCCTGCAGCCCATGGGGTGAGTTGGGGAGGGTACTCTTAGAGGAGAAGGGGGCGCTGGATGCTGGACGGCAGCCCACTTCGCATGATGTTGAAAGCATTCATAATATAAACTCTGCCTCCCAAACATTTTTTCCTGCCTCACCAAGGTATTCACTGTGTCCTGGGCATATCCTGCTTTCCCGTTCCTCTGTGCCTGTGGACAAACTGTTACCTTTGCCTTGTCCTTCCTGTTGCCCCTGGGAAAATCCTGATCATTTTTCAAGCCCTAGATCAGGTATAGCCTTCTCAGTAAAGACGCTTCCCTCTTCTTGCCTCCATTGCATTTTCTCACGTTTGGATATGGATAGCAAAGTGTGTTATAGTATTATGAGTTTATATGTTTTCTAACATGCCACAGAGCATGAGTTTTGTTTGTTTGTTTTTAAAGACTTTATTGGGGAATTGGGGAAGGGAATAGCCAAGTTGTCCTTCAATCTTAGTTGCGGGGGTTGGGGGCGGGCACAGCCCTCCATCCCATGCAGGAGTGGAACCAGCAACCTTGTTGTTAGGAGCACGTGCTCTTACCAGCTGAGCCATCCTGCCATCTGTTGGCAGCTCAGCGGCAGCTCAGCTCGGGCTGGACTCGAACCGCTGTTGCTCAGAGCTCAAGCTCTTGAGTGAGCTCTTAACCAACTGAGCCACTCGGCCGGCCCTAGAGTACGAGCTTTTTAAGGGCAGGAATTGCATCTACTTTCTATTTTAGCATAAAAGCTGTAACTGGAAAGAATTAGAAATGTTTTTATTTGATTTGATTGAAACGACCTGTTTGGGATTTGCTCAGGGCACAGCTTTGATTCAGAGTTGATTTGGGGGAGTTTTCTGATGAGACCTTAGACTAGATCATCAGCCTCCTGCCCCCAAAGCTTTTCACTTTCCATTTTTCCATCTTCATCTCACCGCTATAGGTTCTGGAGCTGGGACCCTGCTTGTCCCCATCCTCACCTGGCCACTAGGGCCCCAGTGTTTCCTCTTCCGTGAATGTGGCAGAAACATCTGCTTTGTCCCTTTCTCATTCCAGAGGATACTTGAAAGTGTGAGGGGCATTTTATTAAGATACTACTTAATTAAACAGAAGTGTCAGAACAAAGAGTTACAGAATAAGACTGTGTTTCTCTGCTGTTAGGCCAGGTGACCACAACTTCTAGCAGGGTTGATTAGGACTATACCTTGTCAGTGAAGGCAGAGTAATTAAGGGAGGAAAGTGTTGTATTTGGAGGTGGAAGGCAGGTTCCAATTCTAGTTCAGCCCGTGTGCTATTAGCAGGCCTGGGCTTGTATTTCAGTGACTGCACATAATAGTAGCTGAATGTATGAGATGTCATTGCCCCCTCAGTAGATAAAGCTAGGAAATATCCATGTACACACATATTTATACATATGTACACCTATATCTATTTATCTATACTAGAAACCATGAGTCTACACTGATTTCCCCAATTACAATCCACTGTCACGTGGTCCATTCTAACCTTTTATCTTTTCATATCTGTGCCTTTCCTCTCCTCTCTGATAGTCCGTATACTTACTTGTTCGATCCCCTGGTATTAACCAGTCTCCCTACCATGTTTGCCATCTCACTGGCTAGGGCTGCTGGCTCCGACCTGCCTGCGCTGACTGAGTATCTCCCAGGCCTCTGCCGGTGCTGCTTGACTTCCTTCTCTGCCCATTTTGTTCTGTTATAAATATAATTTCAAAAGATTTTTTTTTTTTTTTGTAGGCCTGGAGAATTCTAAAGCAATATGTGTTGCTGCTGGCTCACATCACTCAGCTTCACTGACAGGTAGGTACCGGCTCTTTCAGTGTAACGTGCCAGTCAGAGTTCTGTGTGTTTCTGCCTCAAGTGGTGATGTTGGGAAACAAAGGGAAGAGCGAAGATTTTGGAGTCAGAATTCTGACGCCACCACTGCTGTGATCTTAGGCAAGTCGCTTTACCTTCCTAGGACCCATTTCTTTGTCTATAAAATACTTTGTGGGTAGTTCTGAGAACTAAATATGATAATACATGTAAAACAGTCACATGGGCTTACTTCCTTGCTTCTGGGTTTGCTTTTTTCAGGTGTAGAGTAGGGATTCTATATTCTTATGTCTTCCTCTCAGGGTAATTGTGATTGTCAAATCATGTAACCAACAGTAAATTTATATGTAATAGATGGTTATCTTATCCATTTAAACTATTTCGGTGTCTAGTATAATATAACTGTCTCTCTACCTATCTGTTCTCTAGCTGTTTAATCTCAAACTTATTTTATCCACCGGTATCTTTCTAATCCATTTATCTCTGTTTGCTCTTTCTATATTTATCTACTTTATTTTATTTATTTAACTACATATCTATTTTTATTTATCTTCTATCTTTGTATCTTTCTATCTAATCTATGTATTGATATATCTCTAAGTCTAGTTATGTATATGTTTTTCTCATCTATTTTGTGTTTTTATGTATTTCTCTAACTTATTTCTCTATTCTGTCTCTGATCTATTCCTCTAGCTAATCTTTTTTCCCTCTCTCACACTATATCTGTTTGGCTATGCATCCATCCATATATTTGACACACCCAGCCAGTACAGTGTAAACTTTCTGGTGACAATGCAGCGTTTTCTTGAAGGTGAAGGGTATCTTTTCTAAAGGTCATCTCCCTCAAAGCCCAGATTGCCCTGCCCCCTGCTGGTAACTGGAGACTGTAGCTCTGAGAGATTAATTTGGTAAGACCTCTCACTCAGAGCTGAATGCATTACATTTTTAAGCAAAGGGAAATTGATTTTCATGCATTGTGTTTTCAGTGTTTTATGTGGAAATTAAGATGTGTACACAGTAAATGTAAATTAATGGTGGCTGCATTCTTCAACATCAATTTTGCAATGCATTTCCACTGGGAAGTTGTTATTGTTTCCAGAGCACAGAGACATCATGTGAGTTTAAATACTTTACATAGTTTAAATATTATTCTGAACTACAGATAATTTGTTATTTAATGAATTTAAAACAACCAACAACAACAACAAAATACCTACATTTTGCCTGTGTCTCTTAATAGGTAGATTTACATATACGTTGAAAGAGTGGAGTTGAAATGAATGTCCGTTATAGAGGAAGGGCTGGCGGCCCCAGGGTGAGAAGTGACTTGTTCATGCCCCTTTGTCAGGGAGGGTTGCGGAAGGCATTCTTTTCTGAGAATAAGAGAAGGCTAAGAGCCGATTCTACTTTGTTAATTTGAAATGGCTGGCATTATGTAAACCTGGAGATTTTCTAATTGCTTGCTAACATCAATTTCAAAAATCTTGTAATTAGTAAAGTTACTTATTTCATATGTGGAGCGTTTTTATTAGGTGATTTTTTTTTTTGAAGATGTTGAATTTTTATTTTATTGAGATGTAATTCATATATAAAATTCACCCCTTTGAAGTGTACAATCTAGTGATTTTTAGTATAGTCACAAAGTCAATTGTTTTTAGATGTTTTGAATGTCAGTAGAAAATTGTCAAGATGAATACCCCTCTTTCCCAGTCTAGTTCAGGCTGTTAACACACTGGGTCTTGTTCAGCGCTCTCTGACCTTTCTTCAGGAGTTGTTGTAGATTATGTAACCATTTGGCATTGCAGCAGAATTTAATTTTGTAACAGTGTAATGATCTGCATGTGGAAGATGGTTTGTCTTTGCAAAAAGATGGTTTACACTTACTAAGAAAATGAAGGCTTATTACAGACGCAGGCTTCTGGTCAGTGGCATCTCGTAGCTAACCAGGCCCTTTCATGGGCTGAGACTTTCCTGAGGCACTCCTTCCTCTGCCTTCTTGTAAAGGATCCACATGTTTTGCACACCTTGGTGAAGTACAAGGAAGTTGCCTTCTCTCTGGGCCTGAAATGCACCATAGAACTGCAGAATGTCAGTGCTGCAAGGTCAGTTGGGGGACAGAAAGACTCACTGATTAGCACTCTATTGTGTTAGACTTGATGAAACAGGCTCAGGATGTGAAGTGATGTTTCAGTGTCAGAGTGATCCAGCAGCAGATCTGGGACTTGAACCCCTGAATCTTGGTCTAATGCCCTTTCATGATACTGTTTGGCTTTCGAGCAGTTTTTGAGAATATGCTAGACTGCCCTAGGGCAAGCAGTACTGTAAAACTTTGTTGGGAGGTCACAGAATGCGGGGGAAGCAGAAGGAAGACCTGGCTTCTGGTCCTGCTTGACTCCTTATTAGCCATTTAACATCTCTGAGCCTTAATTTATCTTCTAGAAGAGTGCTGTCTCATAGAATGTAATGTGATCCACATTCCAAAAAGTGCAAAGAAACAGATGAAATAATTTTAATACTGCATTTTACTTAACCCCACATATCCAAACTATTATTTCAATGTGTAATCAATATGAAAATTATTAAGGAGCCTACACTCTATTTTTTTTTTCCACTAAGACTTTGCAGCCCATTGTGCTTTTTTGTCTTATACCACATCTCATTTTGGACTAACCAATATTTCAGGTATTCAGGTATGTGTGTCCTGTGTGCGTACAGTGCAGTGGAGAACCTTAGAATATGAAGGTTGGAAAAGCCGTTAGAGACCATCCAAGTAGTCACAAACTGCAGATTCACAGGCCCAATGATAGCCCATGGCCCCGTTTTGTTTGGCTTCCAGTTAAAGTGTTTTGAACGTGAAAGCCTTTTAGACAAGCACGTGCTCTCTGGGTTGTCATAGTCACCCACCAGCCTCTCTTGTTACCCATGTCATTAGTTATATAGTCTGCCCTTCTAGACCAACCTCCAATTTGTAATGGTGAAACTAAAGCTTAGAGAGGAAGTGATTTGTTCAAGGTCAATACCTAGTGAGCGGATCCAGGAATAGAAGCCAGAGTCACTTGACTCTGAATTTGCATGTTTTCTATTAAATCACAATGTCAGTTGCATCCCTGCTTATATCACAGGATTATTGTAAGGTTCAAGTGAGCTTAAGTGCTACACAGATGTGACGTGGTAGCATTATCTTGTCGGCTGGACTGGGCACATAGTGAAATAATCTTATATTAAAAAAATTTAAGCTTAACAAATATATCTTTTAACCTGTTCTTTAAAAAAGTTAACATTTTTTTTTTCCCTAACAAAAGGCAGTACAAGTCCATATTTAAAAAATGTAGAAAATAGAGAAACGTATGTCTGGCACATGGTAGATGTTGAATAAATATTCATTGAATGAATAATAGAAACATAAAAAACCTCGCACGTTCCTATTCCTTGACAAACTACTAAGAACATTGGCCTTGTTTGCTATTTATAGGATTAAGAAAAAATCTTATATGTCATTATGCTATTCATGAATTTCGTATCTTGCTTTGCTCTTCTTAACGTTGTAGCAGAAGAATAATACAACTCCTTTTAACCGCCTTTTTTTCAGACTTGTGTTATTTCCCGTCATTTTGGACTAATATCCCTTCAACCTCTTGTTCCCCTTCTGTTTGTGTAAGATGCAGGAAAGCTGTATGTTTGGGGAAGCAACAAGCACGGGCAACTGGCTTCTCCGGCTGCTTTCCTTCCTGTGCCCCAGAAAATAGAAGCACATTGCTTTCGGAACGAAAAGGTCACTGCTGTCTGGAGTGGGTGGACACACCTGGTTGCTCAGACAGGTAAGAGAGCAGCAGAGAATTTGTGGTTGGTAAGAGCAGCTGGGGGACAGCTGTCTAAATAACGATGACTGCCCAGGATTAAGTAGGTTGGGCTTTACTGATGAAAAGCTTTCAGGACTGGGAAGGGGAGGACCTAGGCTCTGGTTCTGCAATCAGCCAGATGTGTGGCCTTTGTCTCTTTTTTGCACCCAAAAAGGCAATGCTGGTTTAGGTTACTGGCCCTAGTCCATGAGGATTTGAGAAGGAGCCCATTGCACCCAGCATTTTGTCCAGGTTTTTGGGGAATGTCTGCTTTGTGACTCCATTTGCATTTCTACCTGTGTCTAAATTAAAAGCAGCAGAAACTATTAAGTTAAAGATAAACATTTCAAGATGGAGGCAGGAGATTATTTTGAATCATAGTTGGCATGGTATTTTGATTTACATTTTTATTAATCTTAAACTGTGTACATGGATTCGGACAGCTCATATCTTCCCTCAGATGTTACCTTATCATGCCATGCCATCCAGCCTTTGGCATCTTTATCTTTTCTTGCGTCTTCATTTATTTCTCATCTTTTCCTTAGGGCGGTTTTCTCCTGGTCTTTATGTTCCTGACTTTGTGCTTGGGGCTTGTGTTTTCATGGCTTCTCGCTTTCCCTGCCTTCCTAGAGCTCCTGCTGGTTCACACAGTGTTTCCCAGACATAAGAATTTGTAATTCTCAAGGTTCTCTTATCATGTCAAGGCCTTCTGAACTTCAGGGGTTCTCAGGAGTCCCTGGGCCTGCTCGTTAGGTACACATGGACCTGTAGACTCCCTAATACATGCTGACTGGTATTCCAGTACTTTCTGGCTTTTGTAGATTTCCAGGTCAGCTTCAGTTATCTGTGGTAAGTCACACATTACTACACATTTGAACACACAGACATAGACTTAGAAGTATTCGTATCTAGGATGCTTTAATTAGTCTTTTAAAAAAATTTTACGATCATTTTGGAACAGAGGCCTATATAACAAAGGTGTATAATAAACTTCCCATGTTTACCACTTCAAAGGATGCTCTAAGGAAAGTATTGGAGGAAAATCATGGAGGAAAATCATGACTTTCCTCAGAGAGGTTCAGACTGCTTGAAGATTGGGTCCATCTACAGAAATTTTTCTTAATGAGACTCACTGAGCATAGTAGCTGCTTGTTTGCATAATTGTTAATATCTGTCTTTTCCTCCAGACAGTGAGCTCTGTGCGGGAAGGCACCATATTAGCCTTGTTCACTTCTGATCCCCACTGCCTAGCAGAGAACGTATTCATTTCCTACATTAAATTGTTTCTAGTTAAAAGAGACTAAACAGATGCATATGCGTATGAGGCAGGATACACAGCTAGGATTTCTCGCCCCTTTTCTTGGACTCATTAGTTCATGAACAGAAGGCTTCAGTTTATCTCTTTGGATTCAAGAGTCCAACTAAATCAGTTATTGCTTATTGGGAACCTATTGAGCCATGTGCTAATAATAAGGCTTGGAGAACCAGAGGAGGGAAGACATGGGCCGTGCCCTCCCGCTAGAATATAGACAGGCTTAAATCTAAGAATATAGAGATGGAAGACTTGACCATCCATCTGTCTATCCGCCCATCATACAAATGGTGAGCATCTGTTTATGTACCACGCTTCGTGCTATTGTAGATAGAAATCTGGCCCTCAAGAGCCCACTGTTCCCTAGGGGAGACAGACCTGTTACCAAATTTCAGTATGTTGCAGTATGAGATGTGCAACCATAGAGCTAAATACAGCGTGCAGAAATGGTATAGAAACTAGCTGTAGTGTGAGTAATTGGGTGGTAACAGGTAGGTGTCTCATGGTTAGTCTTCATAGAATTGCAGTGCAGTGAAATACACTTACTACCAATGGTGGTGAGTTTGGTTGAGTCTGTCCATTAACCCTTGAACTAGTTAGGTAGCTGACGGATGAAAGTCATAAAGATGCCGCTTCTTGGATTCTAGCCTTGAGCCTTGTAACTGGTGTTGATTTCCACGTCTAGGCCAGCAGCCCAGCCCTCGGGGTGGGAAGTTGGCACCCAAGTATGTGACACTGTCTGAGTCACCCCAGCAGCTCTGGAGCTTAACTTCAGGTCTCCACCTCCACTGGAGAGCGTGATTTTTCGAGGTAATGTTTCAGCTGTTTAATTAACTTGTTAATTCAGATCTCTTGTGTATGTACTTTGTCACTTTACTCTTTCTCCTAAGTCCAGAGTGGTTAAAGCCTGGGATGTTTGAGTGTCCTGGCTGTTGCACTGAATGGTGGGTAAGCGGGAGTCTTCTTCTGTTTGATTCCCCAGTTTTGTTCTCTTCCTAGCAGCAGTGGAAGGCATTGCCCTGGCCCCGTGTCATTGAGAAGAAACACCCAGGGCTTCCAGTTTAATCAGACTCAGCGACTCATGCTAATGCGAACAAGATTTTCTCACAGGGTCAGAAGCAGCTCATTAGTGGAACAAGGAGCTATTTGACTGTAGTTGTTTTCACAAGCTCCGGTGGTGAATTGTTCCTGGGACCTACCTGCAGGCCACATTAGCACAGAGGCTGTTCTCAGCCTCATTTGGGAAGGCGTTAGTTGTGTGATATTGATTTAAAAAAGAGCTGATGCACAGTGACCACATATCTGTCCAGTAAGATGGGGTGAGTTAGGATGAGCGAAAAGAGAGCGGACTTTGCCTCTCCCCTCTCCATAGGCCCTCGACCAGTGATTTTCAACCACAGGTGACTTTTGTCCCCCAGGGGACATTTGTAATGTCTGGGGACATATGTGGTTGTCCCAACGGGGGTGCTATTGGCACCTAGTTGGTAGAGTCTAGGGATGCTGCTAAACATCCCACAATGCAAGGGCGGACCCCACAACAAAGAAATACCCAGCCCCAAACGATAGTCATGCCAAGATTGAGAAATGCTGCCCAAGACTGACATCCCCAGTGGTAAGTACTTAGCTGGGCAGTTCACGTGGTGTCAGGATAACTTTACAGCTTGTCCCCATAGGAATTCGGGTTGCAGTCTCTGCCCCCCCCACTTCAGGAGTCTGCTGCTTGCCTGCAGTGTTTGCAATGGAAAAATTCTTTTCTCTGTTAGTCAGAGGCTCTTGGAAAGAGTCCAAGCGAACCTGTTCTAATCTGGGAAAGTTGGCAAGGGTACCTGTGTCTCAGGCTGGTGGCGCTGCATTCTAGAAACCTTTCCCAAGCTGCTTAATGTCCTCGATCATTGTTCTCGGGAACTTCATGGGACTCCTGGGTGACTTTATCCAGGCGCAGTGACCTGCAGCTGTCTCCTCTGAGAGTCACGATTTCCTGGCCCTTCTATGTGCTTCTAGTGAGAGCTGGATGGCAGGTCTGGGGGCCTTCCTAGTTTGGTGACTTTGTCTAAGACCGTTCACCTGCCTAGGCCTCAATTTCTTCGTATCTCAAGTAGGATATTTAAACCTGCCTGCATTCTATCACTACATGGGGCTGCCATGAGGTTCAAATGAATGAATCTGTGGGAAAGATCTCAACTAATTATAAAACGCTGTACATACGTAAGTGAGGGGTGCCTGAGGTAGGGATATGTGAGTATATTAAGAAGTTAGCAGTTGCTTTTAGGAAGCCTTCTGTTTCAACAGGGTCTGTGCAACACTTAAGACATACCAGCTCCTCCCCTGAGGGCTCGGGGGCTGGTCAGGGATGTGATGCCCCACACCCAACTCTGATAGGCAGTTGCCTACAGCCTTTCACTCACGTGCAGCCGGCACATGGCTCGTTTATGCTATCAACAGTTTGGAAGATCTTCATGGCCTTATAGGTAATATTCGTTTCTTAAAAATCTCTGATCACATTATTGTCCTTTCATGGTACTCATCCCAATTTGTAACTGTAGACATCTCTCTGCCTTCTTATTTGTTTAATGTCTAGACTGTAAATTCCATGAGACCAGTGTCTCTTTTGTTCATGGCGGTATCCCCATCACCTAGCACAGGCCTGGCACAGAGTAGATGATTAGTGACTTATTGTCGAATAAATGACTGAATGGCAACATAGAGAGAAACATGGGCTTGACGTCAGGCAGGCTAGGTTTGACGCTTCTCAGAGCTGTCAGCTTCCGGATTGTGTGGCTGTGAGCGGCTCCACCTGTCTCCATCTCTGTTGCCACCATAGTTCAGTCCACTGTCACCTCTTGGGCCCTGTGGTGGCCTGTGACTGGCATCCTCATCTTCCCACACTCACTGCCTCTCCCCTCCAGTCTGTTCTCCATACCTCAGCTGGAAGATCTTTTCAAACCCATTGTGTCACATTCCAAATGGCTTCCCATTGTTCTTAGGATAAAAAATATAATCCTTAGTGGCCCTGTGTGGCCTGCCCTCTGCCTGCCTTTCCAGCCCCATTTCTTACTGTGCTAGCACTTCTTCTTAGCTGATCTTCACCCTGGCCTTTTCTTGGTACCTTGAATGTATCATGTATTTCCCACTGTAGTGCCTTTGCACCTGATGTTCCCTCTGTTCGGCACACTTATCCCCGCACTCCTTCGTTTTGACCTAGTTATAGCTTTTTTTTTTTAAAGATTTTTATTGGGGAATTGGGGGGATGGGAACAGCACTGGGGAATTGGGGGAAGGGGAACAGACAAGTTACTGTCGCTTTGTTCTTCAGTATAGTTGTGGAGGATGTTGCTTCACTGGCCCAAGTTGGCACCCTCATTGCGCTCTTCCTGGGCGAGGCAGATCAGTCCCCGGTTTCTGGACGGCCAATCACTGCGGCTGCTGGCCGCTCACGCTGGCTGCTGGCTACACATGGTAGCCCATGGCAACCCACTGTA